CTTCTAAAAGAACATAAGGTCAGTCTGACCTTTAGATGGGCAACTGCAGTAGCTGCCCTGGGCCTCACATTTACTGAGGTGTTGGAGGGGGTAGTAGAGGGAAGGGTGCTCCACCTCACTCTCTTTCCTGAATATCATGAAACTTCAATTTCAAAAGTTCTGTCTTTGACAAGAGAAATGTCAACAGAGCTCCTATCTTAAGCACTTCCACCACCCCAGTGACTGAATTGCCCTATGCCCCTCTAGGAATAACCCTTAGGGATGATATTTGATACAGATCTTAAAGGAAGGATAGAATTTTAAAAAACAGATATGAGAGGAAGGATTTTCCTGTTGAACCTAATAAAGGCACAGAAACAAGAAAGATCAGGGTATGTCTAGAATTTATCCCATTTAATTAGAATATGGGCTATATGTAAGAGGGTAATGAGAGGTAAGACTGGAAAAGTAAGCTAGGGTCACAGTATGAAGGGCCTTAAACTGACTGTGTTTTGTAAACTACAAATGCTTCATAAGCATTAGAATTATTACTACCAACACTTGTTGTTTGAGTGAGTGAGTGAATAAATGAATGATACGAGATTCTTCCCAAGAAGATAATCCATACCTTTTGCAGAAAAAAGTAACATTCCATGCTCTATTGCGTGGTTCTGAAACAAGGAAAGCATTAAAAGAGGAGAGAAGAGCTTGTGCAGACCATCTAAGGAATTTTTGCAAACTTTATGCATTCATGCTAGTTTGAAAACCACTGCTCTAATAATTATACGTTTAAAAAAAAAGAAGAAAGAGAAATCTAATAAGAGTAGTATACTACTCATGCCTGTACTTCTTCGGCTCCTTTTCTCACCAAAATCACCAATGACCTCCTGATTGACATGTTAATGACCTACTTTCAATTTTATGTGACTTGAGATTCTACATTACTTGACACCTTTAACCACTTAAAACTTTGTCATCCTATAGTTTCCATGACATCACTCTCTTGGTTCTTTTCCTCCCTCTTTTCCTGGTCCTTATCAATGTGCTCCACAATTCTCCTCCTCTGTCTGTACTATATGGATGGTCTCCAGTCTTCCATCCTTGGTCTTCTTCTCACTCTATATACCATTATCCCTGGGAAATCTCGTCTAGCCCTGCTAGTTTCAATTATCATAAGCTAACAACTTTCAGAACTATATTTGTTGCTCCAACTTTTTTCCTAGTCTTCAGATTATTACTTCCAGTTGCCTACTATATTATTAGTGTGTCCTTCATACATTTCAAATTAACATGTCTAAACCTAAACTCATTCGCTTCTCCCTCACTTTCCTGCTTCCTCCCACAACATGGATCTTTCTACCCGAAACTACTCTAGTCCAGTATTATGAATCTTTGTAAATGATGTCACTAGTGATTTGGGTTCGTAAACTAGAAACCTTAAAATTATCTTCAGTTTCGATTTCTGTCGCCTCAACAACTTCCTCTTCCTTATCCATAGGGCCTCCAAATCCTATCAGTTCTATCTTTAAAAAAAAAAAAAAAAAAATGTTTTCACATCCAACTTTTCCTCCTCATTCTCACATATATTGCCTTATTCCAGTTTCTCGTTATCTCTCATTTTTTTGGTTTCCCTGCCACCGGTCTCTCCCCACTTTAGTCTATTCCACACAATGCCACCAAAGTATCTGTCAAAATAAATTATGACCATGTCATGGTTCTGCTTTAAAACTTCTTATGGTTCTTTATGCCCACAGGATAAAATTCAACTTCTTGGTTAGGCACTTCCACAATCTGGCCGTAAAGTAACTCTACAGCATTTTCTTCTGCCTCATGTCCTTCAACTGCATTCCACTAGATCTATACTCCAGATACACTAAACTTTTCACATTCCCCAAATAGGCCATGCCCTTTCATATATGATTCCCACAGCCTGGAATGTCTTTCACCTACTATGTACTAGCCACTTCTGGAGCCTAGAAAACAAAGATAAGAAGATAAAGATTCTTCTGTCAATGAAATCAGAGTCTAGTAGTAGGGGAGACAAGCATATAAACAAATACTAATGATGTACTGTGGTACACCAAAATAAAAATATATACAAAGAACAGAGGTAGCACAGAGAAGAGAATGGTTAACTGCCTGAAGGTGGTGGGATGAGAAAGCATGTCAGCGTCCAGATGGACAAGGTGGGAAAAGAAAATCCAGGCATGGCAAAGCACACTGAAGCATGAACTAGTTTGACATGTTCAGGAAGCTGAGAGAGTTTTGCAGAAACATAAAGTGCAATGGAGAGAGTATCTGTAGACCAGGCTGGAAAAAGCAACTAATAAGCTGCATTCTTCTCCTTTCCAACTTGCAAACTCCTACTCATCTTTTAGGATTGGGCTCAAATGTCTAAACGACCCATCCTCTATGAACCATATCTTATTCCCTAAGCCTATGTTGGTTTTGCCTCTCGGCTCCTATAGCACTTCATATATACTTCTATTATAGTACTTAACACAGTGTATGAAAAATTTTTGTTTACCTCTCCACAAGTTAATGAGTTTGTTTAAGGCTGATACCGTTTCTTATATAAGCATAGTCCTGACACTTCTACAATAATTGTTTGTTGAATTAATTAGTTAATAATAATAATGTGCACTAAGTACTTCACATACATGATCTCTTTACTCCTGAGAAGAACTGTATGAGGGTAGATATTATTCTTATTTCCATTTTACAGACAAGAAAACTGAGATAATGACAAAATAAGTATCTTGCTCAAAATCATGCAGTTAGTCAGTAGTTGAGATTTGTACTTAAGTGGTTTTAATGACAAAGAAAATAATAAAACAAGTTTCCAAGGGGAGAAAGAAAGGATTGATTGGGATCTAGAATATTAGTTGAGAAGACTTGGCAGGAATATAGTTGGCCTGTTAGGTGTCAGGCAGTGTGCTATGTGCAGCGATGGATTGCCCAAAGATGTGGTGAAACTCATGTGAAATTCTGCACTACAGATTAGTAAGTAAACACAAGTAAACCCATGCATACCTTGCTTAATGTAGGCCCGTGTGTACCTTGCTTACTGGTTAATCCACCCCTGGCTATGTGCCTTGCTGATGTAATTTCATGTAAAATAATTTCATCCTCACTAATTCCTCATGAGATGTAGATATCCCACTAAAGAAATCGAGGTTCAGGAAAGTTAAATATCTTGCCCAAGATCACAGAGGTAGTGAGAGGCAACTCCAGAAATGACGATTGCTCCCAGTATTTCTCGCTTGATTCTCTGAGAAAGGAGTGGAAAGATGGCAATAAAGAGATTCTGAAATGTAGAAAAGGTTATCCAGAAGAGGTTACATCAGATAGTCTGAATATTATCAATGAGCTAGAATCTTCAGACCAAGTGGGTTGGGTGAATTGAAAAGCCTGGGGAAGGTCTGGGACAGCCACTGTGATAAGTATTATTAAAAAAAAAAGCCAGGTAAAATTGAATAAATAAGGTTAATGAGCATCAGGTAGGAGACCAACTGAGGCTAGGGTACATGAATTTGTGCACCCAATAAGCACTTTTTTTTTCTTTTCTTTTTTTTTTTTTTTTACTTTGTTCAGCTGTCTTTGCTATTCCAGGAGCAAAGAAAATGTTAGGAATTGTCAGACTGTGAACAGTACAATCATGGTAGGCAATTGTGGGAGCAGGAAAAAGGCTGAAGGGAAGAATTCTTGATTAACAGCAAGGACTTGCAGAAATGGCTGATTATAGATTCTAGTCTGAAGTGCTAGGTTTAACTCTACCCATATTAAAGCCAACTTTCCTCCTATACCAATCCTGAACCCTGTCATCTACATGGGGCTGTAGAAAAACAACCAACCATTGTATCTGGTCTCACTATAAATTCATGACCACTAACCTCTCAAATGTGGCTTTCATGCTCCCTGGCAATTATACTTCATTTCCTAAATCTCTTATTCACTCTCCCACTCTCCTAGACAACTCTTTCATACTGTCTCCTCTCTCCTCAACTTCCAACATCTCTCTCCCATCCTTCCTCTTACCTGATGACCTTACTTCCTATTTCATCCAGAAAATACATGCAGTCGGAAGAAAAATCCCACTGGCTCCCACCACTGCATCTATCCACTTGTTTACATTTATGTCCATATGCTCTGCTTTCCATCTGGTAACTATGAATTGATCACGCTCCTACCTAAGGCCAGCATCTCCTCTTTTACACCAGATTCCATCCCTTCTTTCCTACTAAAGTATACTCAAGTATACACCTCCCACAATTCTACCATCTCTCTTCTAGTTACTGATTTTTTCCTTTCTACTGAATCATTCCCATCAACATCAAACATGCTGTAATTTCCCCCATCTTAAAACAAACCAAACAAAACCCCACATGATCACTTGAGTTCACATACCCATCCAGTTTCAGCTCCCACATTTCTGTGCCTTTATAGAAGAGCTCCTCAAAAGAGCTGTCTGTACTTGTGCTTCAATTCCTGTCCTCCCATTCACTCCTGAGTGTTCTTTAATTAGGTTCCACACACACTATTACGTGAAACTGTTCTTATCAAGGACACCAATGGCCTCATGTTGTTAAATGCAATAATCCGTTCCCATTCTTCATCTTCCTTGACCTATCAGTATTTGACACATCGCCCTCCTCCTTGAAACCTTCTTTGCTTGGCTTCCAGAACACCACACTCTCGTGATTTTTTCCTTCCTCACTGACTCCTTTTCTGTCTTCTTTGCTGGTTTATCATCATTACCCCAACCAAAAAGCATTAACAGTTAATCTTTGATTCATAGCTAATGCCTTTAATTTTAGAATAAATTATTTGGTTCTTTTTTACACACTTTCATTTTCACATAAAAGACATGCTTTTATGACTATATGTTGCTTATGTGTGGTTTAATTAGTTTTCATTCTCTGAGTGTGGTGTGGGGAAACCATTTTGGGATTTTTGGGCCAAATGGCCACAGAGATAACTTAGAGTCACTCATTGATCCTTGTGTGTCTTCTTGGTTGTAGTGTGTTCCTGCCATCCAGTTGGATCAGCTGTCCTTCCTTTCAGCTCAGTGACCTTCTGTGACCCCAGCAATGGTGACTGCCCTTGCAAGCCTGGGGTGGCAGGGCCACATTGTGAAAGGTGCATGGTGGGATACTGGGGCTTTGGAGACTATGGCTGCAGACCTTGTGACTGTGCTGGGAGCTGTGACCCTCTCACAGGAGATTGCATCAGCAGGTAAATGTTCATAGCTCTTGCTCTCATCTATGTGTCTTTCAGATTCTTTTGAAAATCTGATAGCTATTCGGGGAATCTTGCATAATGTTAGTGGAGCAAAGGTTTACTTGCACACTTTTTAAAGAATTTTTATCAAGTTGTAGAGTCAAGTAATTTGTTTTGGCAAAATTATAGAGATGGGCTAGTCCATTTTTTGCAAAACAAATTATTATTCTCAACAGTTGACCCTTATATCAGAGAGAAAACACTATTTCTGAAAAGTGAAAGAATAGGAACTGATAAGGTTTAAATCTTTATAAACATACTTTATTCAAATTCTAAGAAATTCCCTAATAAGTGCTTTATTATTTTCTATTTTATTAGCAGCACAGACATAGACTGGTATCATGAAGTTCCTGACTTCCATTCTGTGCTCAATAATAGTGAACCAACCTGGGAGTGGGAGGATGAGCAAGGATTTTCTGCACTTCGACATTCAGGTGAGACAGCAGATATAACCAGGTATCATATTTCCAGGTCTGGTTATGAGTAAAGGAGCCCTTGTGGTGCAGCTGTTATGTTTTCTACTGTGAACCAAAAGGTCAACGATTCGAGCCCATCAGCCACTCCATGGGAGAAAGATATGGCAATCTGCTTCCATAAAGATTACAGCCTTAGAAACTCTATAGGGCAGTTCTACTCTGTCCTATAAGATTACTATGAGTTGGAATTGATTCTACGGCACGGGGTTTTGGTTGGAGTTTTGAGTAACAGTGATTTGTGCATGACATACCAGGAAACAGCTTTTGGATCCCATGACTGGGAACTCTTTAGTTCTGAGGTTTAGTGAAGTCGTGACCTCGTAAATTTGCAACTATGAAATATAGACCTTTTTATTAGAGTAACTTATGTAGTTATTATAGAAAATTTGGTAAATGCAAAACATCACAGTAAAAAGAAATAAGACACCCAAAATCTCACTGCACCCCTGTTAGTACTTTAGTGTGTTTTTTCCCTCTCTTTAACCATACTGCTTTACACAGTTGAGAGCTAGCCAAATATATCGCGTTTGAAAATGTACAGATCAGCTATAACTTAAATATGTACAAAGCAAAAGCTAGGTGTTAACTCCTTATATTTATCGTTTTTTTACAACTATAAAACAAAAATAATTTTATGTTTTTTAGTGTAATTTTAGTTTTTACTAAATATAAGCCAAATAATAAAATTCAAATTAACATTAATTAAATATGGAAATGAATTTTGGGCTTTTGTGTGAATTTTAGAATAAATTTATAAAGTCCCACAAAAATCTCAGTGGAGATGTTGATTGTAACTACACTGACTTTATAAATTTTTTTTTTAAATGATAGTTTTATAATGTTGAGTAATCCCAGACATGAACATGGTATATCCTTCCACTTATTACAGTCTTTTTTAAGGTCTTTCAATAATATTTTGTCATTTTTCTCCAAAAAGGTCTTGTATGTCTTTTATTACATTTACTTCTAGATATCTTATAGATTTTGTTGCCATTGAGAAGGGTTTTTTTAATGTGACTTTTTAAAATGATTATTAATGATATACAGGAGTACTGTTGACTTTTGTATTTTGATCTTGTGTCTGGCAACTTTGCTGTACTTGCTTATTAATTATATTAGTTTATCAATTCCTTTGAATTCTTCTATGTAGACCATCCTATTATTGGTAAATAAGGACAGTTTTGTCTCTTTTTACTTCTTATACCTCATACTTTTCCTTGCCTTATTACATTGGATAGGGTCTCCAGTAAGACATTGTTCCCAAATTTAATAGGAATATTTTGGAAAATTTCACCATTAACTATGATATTTGATGTTGATTTTTGATAGGTAGCTTTCATCAAGTAAAAGTCCTTTTCTTCTGTTCCTAATTTTGTTATTAATGAGTTTTGTATTTTACCGAAGGCTTTCTCTGCATCTATTGAGAAAATCATGTTTTTTTAATGTGATGTATGACATTAAGATTTTCTGATATTGAGTTATTCTTTTAGTTCTGGAATGAGACATATTGGTCAGGACGTATTTTTATTCATACACTGCTGAATTTGATCTGCTAGAGTTTTTGAGTTTTTATTTCTTTGTTTGCTTAGGATTTTTGTATCTATGTTTATACTTAGATAGGTCTATAATATATTGTACTGCTTATGCCTGAGTGAGTTAGATGTTCCCCTTCACTGTGTTTTTTTCCCTATTCTCTGTAGTTATTTATATAAAAATGGAGTCATCTGCTACTTGAATATTTAGTAGAACTTATCTATAAAACTATCTAGGCATGGTGTCTTTGAGTAAGAGGAAGCTTTAATTACTGATTCAATATCTCTAATGATTATCAATTTAAGTGCTTTATTCTTGAGTCAATGTTGGTAATTAAATACTTGTAGAAAATTACCCATTTCATTTAATTTTTAAAAATCTTGCTGATGTAAAGTTATACATAGTATTCACTTATAATTTATTAAATATCTGTTCAATCTGTAGTTAGGGCTCTTCTTTGTCCTTAACATTATTTGTTCTTCTTTTCTTTTTGCTTTAATCTTGCTGGTTTTAATTAGCGTCTTTGATTTAGTTTGATTCAATCTATTATTTCCTCACTTTTTTTCATTGATTTCTGATTTTGTCTTGAATATTTCCTTTCTTATATTGTATCTAAGTTCACTCTTTTATTTTTTTTCCTAGCTTTGTGAGTACAATGATCAACTCATTTATTTTTAGTCTTTCTTATTTTTAACAAGTACATTTAAAGTTATAAATTTCCCCCTAAGAACTCTTTAGCTGCATCCTACTGACTTTTGTATATGGTATTTTTATTATCACTCATTTCCAAATCTTTTGTAATTTCCATTAAGAATTCCTTTTTAACTCAAGAATACATATTTAATTGTCTAGGATACATATTTAGTTTTCCAAACTAGAGATTTTTAAACCATCTTTTTATTGATGATCTCTAATGTAATTTCATTGTACTATATTACACTTATTCATTTGTTATATCTATATCTATTATATTAATACATTATATCCTTTGAAAACAAGGAGAGCAACTTGGTTCAGTTTCTAGGCCCACTTACAGGACCATTTACATAATGTGCAGATCCCAGTGCAAGATGAAAATGCAGAGCCCCTTGTTCAAAAATGATTAGGAATTTCAAGACAAGGACAGCAGAGCATTAAACAAAAACCAATGTCCTTCTGAGCCAGGGGCCCTGTGCAACTATACAGGCATCATACCCATGAAGCTGGCCCTACTCACTTACCTAGGCCTGCAGTTTGCTAAATAGCACACACCCAGACCATGGTCAACAATCTTTAGAATTTTTTTTTCCCCAGCCTCCTTCCATTAGTGAGGAGAGCCTTACCCTAATCTCTACCTTCAGAAAAATGAACCTGACTCCAGTTCCTTTTAAGTCCCCTTTACTTCTTTTTTTTTTTTTTAATGGTGTAAGTGAAAGTTTACGATTCAAGTTAGTCTCTCATACAAAAATTTATACATACATTGTTATGTGACCCTAGTTGATCTCCCTATACTGTGACAGCACACTCCTCCTTTCCACCCCGTATTTCCCGTGTCCATTCAACCAGCTCCTGTCCCTCTCTGCCTTCTCATCTCACCTCCAGACAGAAGCTGCCCATTTAGTCTCACTCTCTTCACAAGTATCATTTTACGTTCCACAGTCCAGTCTAATCTTTGTCTGAAGAGTTGGCCTCCAGAATGGTTTTAGTTTTGGGCTAACAGAGAGTCCGGGGGTCATGTCTTCCAGGGTCCCCCTGGTCTCAGTCAAACCATTAAGTCTGGTCTCTTTACTAGAATTTGAGTTCTGCACCCAACTTTTCTCCTGGTCTGTCAGGGACTGTCTGTTGTATTCCCTATCAGGACGGTCATTGGTGGTAGCTGGGCACCGTCTAGTTCTTCTGGTCTCAGGCTGATGGATTCTCTGGTTTATGTGGCCCTTTCTGACTCTTGAGCTAATATTTTCCTTCTGTCTTTAGTGTTCTTCATTCTCCTTTGCTCCAGGTGAGTTGGGACCAATTGATGCATCTTAGATGACCACTCGTTACCTTTTAAGACCCCAGACACCACTCACCAAAGTGGGATGCAGAACATTTTTTTAATAAACTTTGTTATGCCAGTTGACCTAGATGTTCCCTGAAACCATAGTCCCCCGACCCCCACCCCTGCTACTCTGTCCCTCAAAGTGTTTGATTGTATTCAGGAAACTTCTTAGCTTTTGGTTTAGTCCAGTTGTGCTGACTTCACCTGTAGTGTGTGTTGTCCTTCCCTTCACCTAAGATAATTCTTGTCTACTATCTAGTTAGTGAATACCCCTCTCCCTCCTTTCCCACCCTTGTTATCATCAAAGAATATTTTCTTCTGTGTTTAAACTTTTTCTTGAGTTCTTATAATAGTGGTCTTATGCAATATTTGTCCTTTTGCGACTGACTAAATTCAGTCAGCATAATGCCTACCAGATTCCTCCATGTTATAAGATGTTTCACGAATTCGTCTTTGTTCTTTATTATTGTGTAGTATTCTATTTTGTGAATATACCATAATTTGTTTATCCATTCATCCACTGATGGGCACCTAGGTTGTTTCCATCTTTTTTGCTATCGTAAACAGTGCTGCAGTGAACATGGGTGTGCATATCTCTATTCATGTGACGGCTCTTATTTCTCTAGGATATATTCCAAAGAGTGTATGGTACTTCTATTTCTAGCTTTTTAAGGAAGCGCCAAATCGATTTCCAAAGTGGTTGTACCATTTTACATTCCCACCAATAGTCTATAAGTGTTCCAGTCTCTCCACAGCCTCTCCAACATTTATTATTTTGTGTTTTTTGGATTAATGCTAGCCTTGTTGGGGTGAGATG